TTTTTTTTTTTCTTTCTAAAATCTATTTTATTTTCAATTTTTGTATTTAATTTTTTTTTTTAATCCATACTGGAGGTGGGCTCCACTTTGCCACATTACCCACTCAAATTTGAGTAAATGACCTAGGTGCACAAAATTACTAAAACACCCCTGCCACATCATCAAACTTAATGGACTTTTGGATGGAATTGACGGTAGAGGGTAATGTGGAATATCAAACCTTGGTCAATGGGGCAAAGTGGGTCACTTTAACTTTAGGGGGATAAAGTGAGAATTGATCAATGTTTCAGGGTGCACTATAGCAATTAAGCCTAAAATAAAATATATAATGAATGGTTCCACTACTAATATCACCAAGACCTTTTGTGATAAAATCCCACACCTAGTAGGCTTTGTAGGTGGTTAAGTTGGGGACAATATTGGTATTGCTAATAGTGGGCCCCTGGCCCGTCTCTTTGAAATTTAACTCTGAGTTGATTGACTGGGCCTAAATTGGGCCTTTACCCAATATGTGGTCTTTACATGTTAGGCTTGAATGTTTACCCCTACCCCTATCCATTACCCAATACATGGTGTTCATGTGTTGGGATTAAATAATTGACTCCGATATGGATTTGGCTCCACGTGTGGCCCACTATATGGTGATCCCACATGAGGGGGCGGGTTGAAGAATACAAGTTCCACATTGGAAACTTGACTAAATAAAATACAATATATAATGAATGGTTCCATTACTAATATCACCGAGGCCTTTTGTGATAAAACCACATACCTACTGGGCTTTGTAGGTGGTTAAGTTGGGAATAATATCGGTGTTGTTAGTAGTGGGCCGCTAGCCTGTCTCTCTGAAATCTAACAAAGACGGCCGCTATCCAAAGATTTGGTGTGGGTGGCTCTTCACCTAGGGTCTATAGCTTCGATCCTCATTTTCACAGTGTTGGGCTAGGTTTTTGACAACTAGGGTTGTTGGGTACCATCTTTTTACCCATCTTTACAGGTTTGGCTGGTTACTCTGCAATGGGAACTGCGAATTCAAGTGATGTTGGTGTCCTTCTTGACAAACCTATGAAGACTAGCCCAGTGGAGTCTTCTGGACGTCTTCCTTAATGTGTTCTTGGAGCATTCGTGGGCTTGGCATCCGACAAATGCTCTTATGCCTGATCCTCATGTTCAGGTTAAGTGGCTAGGCTAGTTTTGTTATTGGTGAGTGGTGTTTTCATCTTTCTCTCCTTAACTGATCTTTGATTCTCCGCCTGTCTCAAGGACTATGTTTTCATAGGAGGTTTCTTTGTTAGTGTTGAGATGATACGACATGCTTGGGGGCTTTTTTTATATTTATTTTCTTTCCTGGCCTGTTTGCAGTTAGTCTCTTCTTTGTGTTGCTCCTTACAAATTTCTCTTTTTTAATCGCCAATTACTATTGGAGGTGGCTGGAGATGGTGTGCTTAGTGGCGTATTGTGCTCTCTGTTGAATGTTCTCATTGTCTTGTGGTTGTGCAAAAGAGTATGATTTCATAGCAGGACTCTTTTGACAATTGGATTGTGTTGTAGTGTTCTCGTCGGAGGTCTTTACGTCGAAGGTGTATGTGTTAGTTTGCTGTTTTATTTTATCTTGCTCTAACATTGGTCCTACGTGACTATTTCAGACTCTCTTGTTAGTCTATGACATGTGTGGCACTCTTTCCTATCCTGAGATTTGTCCCTCATGAAGGTTTTAACAAGGCCATTATTTTATGTCGTTCTATGTACGCTACTTTGATTCTATGAATGAATTCCATTTCTAACAAAATAAATAAATAAAGACCTACATCGGAAAACTTGACAAAATAAATATACTTTTCTTGGTGGCATTGTCAAAGCCGAGAAAACGGACATGGCATTATAGAATAAGCAAAATTTGGTCTGAGCATAATTCAAGTAAAAGCTTTCTAAAAGGAAAAAAGGGATGCGTTCTCATGCTTCTGAGTGCAAATAGAGTTGCAGTTTTTGGTTTTAGGGGGGAACACTAAAAACCAAAAAACTTCGTAGATATAGTTATTCAGGCAGCAACTCTGCATCATCTGAACAGTAAAGACGAAAATGAATGGAAGAATGAAGAAAGGCCACAAGAGTAAAAAGAGGAGTGCCTTGAACTTGAAATAGAGAGGATGAAGAATTTTGATTTCAGTAAATACCATAATAAAGCTACATGCCGTTTGAAACATGATAAGAAATAAATTGCGCAATATTGATGTTGAATCTTTTATTCAACTCATTTAAAAAACAAAAACAAAAACAAAAAAACTCTTTTTTTCTTTTAGAAATACACAAAAGAGATCTTAAATTCGAATCTCTCATGTTTATTGATACAAAAGAGAACACATAATTTTCAATACACTAGAATGATTTTACATTAATGCATATCAATAATTTGGATGTCCCGTGGTCCTACGAACACATAATAATTTTTCATAAAAAAGGTGAGCGGATTGGCATCTCCCTGTTGCTTTGACGAAAGAGCTAATTGCCATCACATTTTCTTCTTGTGGTAATGAATATGTGGTTTGGTATTTGGTGGGTGGAGTTCCTCAACTTGCAAGGACTTGCTGACTGACTGCCAAGTGGCCAAGTCTTGTTAAACACACCCAACTGTGTTTAACTAAACTAACTCATCATATCTCCTCACTCTGTTGTTTTTTCAGTTTGTGAATGCATTGGTGTGCTTCATCTTTCTTCTGATCAATCCATGGTAGTTTTTTCTGCAAGGTCTCTATATCTTTCTCAGCGACCTTCAATTCATTCTCAACTTGGTTAATTTTTGGCCGCACAGCCAACAGTAATTTAGTTAATCCATCTATCGCCTTACAAGTAACCTGCAAACATTATAACAGGAAAAAAAAAGAGTTATAATTTTGTGTGTAAAAACTCCCCTACTCTATTTGATGAGTTAGAATTTTGTGCGTTACTTTGATTTGTTCCAGTAAGGACTTTTTTGAACCCAAAGAATCCCAAATCTTTCCCTTGGCAATAGCATTGGCAGCAGCATTGGCAGCAGAATTGGCATTAGCATTAGCATTCCCACTAGCATTAGCAATAGCTTCATCCCATTGCCCTTGCAATAGAACTGCCAAACTTTCCCTCTGCGATTTAAGTTGTTGGATTTGTCTTAGGCGGTATTGAACTATATTTCTCTGATTGGTCTGATACCATCTCTCGTAATGCCGCCACGAATACTGTTTCAATCGTCCAAAGGAAAAAAAAAAACCAAAGAATAAGAAAGCGTACAGGGTATAAATGGAAAACTCTAAGCAAACTTTAATGTTTAATCTTACATATTCAGGAAGCATATGATATTCCTCTTCAAGTGAGGAAAATAAACTAACACCCTCCTTCTGGCTCACATTGATCTGTTTCAGAAGCTGTTTTTCCTTAGCCAAACTTTTGGTTCCGTGTCCCATCCTAAAATTCAATTTCTGAACCCATGTCCACATTACCAACAAACTCAAAAAGGCTTAATGGTAAGAAATAAATAAATAATCAAGAAACAATCAGAAAACAAATATATACACGTTTAGATATCTCTTCTCCTGGCAAGCAGGGCTGAATTGGTTTTCTTTGGTTAGCTTTGTCTGTGAAACGAAGCAGAAATAGTTGCAATATATTCATTTTCTCCCTCTCCAGGGTCAAGCAGTATTTGAGTCCCCTTCCATAACTAATCAAGCAGTCCAACTGAGGAAGAAGGGTACATCTCCGATCACACTGTTGACATAGTTTTCAAAAAGATGTTTCAGATTTTCATTCATGATCATGTTATTTGATAATTGAAGTTGAGACTACCACAGCAGCTAAGAATTAGGAAATCCAGTCACATATATTCGTGCATATTGCAGACCATTTTAACATACCATCCTTTGCGCTATGTCTTCAGCCAGCTCAAGCTTATCTTGCCTGATCTTTGCAAGCAGCTTCTCAGCCTCTTCAATTCTGGCTTTTAGATTTAGCTCTTCAGCAGCAACATCCTTTATAAGCCCACCAACTTCTTGCAACCGATTGTTGTCTCCTTCACTTTCAAGTACCGGAGCCATTTGCATACAATTAGCTTCCAATTCCTCCATACTGTTGGCCTTGCCTGATGTTCATACGAAAGGTTTAACTGAAACACATTATACACTAATGGGATGCATAAAACGGTGGGTTTTAGTAAGTTCTAGATGAAGTTGATTATCAACATATCAAAAAATTTATAAAAGCCTATGTCTTACGAAAAAGGAAGAAAGAAAAGGATATGAAACAATTTGGCTGTTACCTTCAATGTCCAGACCTGATATTCAGGTACTGCAAATGAATGAGACAATTTGACTGGGAATTTTTAGAAGTCTGACTTAGTATGCAGATGCTGATATAAAGATATGAACTGTGCTATATATACTCAGCCAAATCCACTTGCACCCCACGCAAAGTAAGTCAACTGCTTCCATAACCCTTATTAAAGAATTCCTGTTCTATAATTTACTTTTCTTGGGGTGGAATTGCCAATGCTGAGAAAAAAATGGGCATGGCATAAAAAATAAGCAATTTGGTCTGAGCATCCGAGCATAATTCAAGTAAAAGTTATCCCAAAAAAAACAGGATACGTTCTCTTGCTTCCAAGTGCAAATAGAATTTGCAGTCTTTGGTTTTAGGGGAACATTAAAAACCAAAAAACTTCGTAGACATAGTTTTGCTTTGTCTGGGTGAAATGATTTAACTAACGTCTAATTCAAAAAATTCAGATTATGTTTCCAACTCTGTTATTTAACAATGGGGTTTTGGTGCTGTTGAAAACAAACAAAAAATATGGAAGGGCAGAGCAGTTCTTCCACCAATGTTGCCCCATATATTTATGGTAATGGAAATTACAAGCACATGGGTTGCTAGAAATTCCTTAAAATTTGGCATAGCTTCTTACAACATTCCAGCCAATTATAAGCTTCCCTCTGTTCCCCATTCACTGCCTAGCTAGTTCATAAAACCATCTCAACCTATTGACACCAAAGATTATGAACAGCCATGAATGACTTTGGTGTAGTGATCACACAAGACTGTTGTTTACAATGCTGATACATAGGTGTGATATGAAGAACCATTTCAGTTTACCAATTTGGGGGAAGATAAAGTTCGATTAAGATACATGATATTGGTGACCAAATCTATTTACAAGAAAATGATGAATAGGTGAAGATTTCTAACACTATGAGATGAGTGAGCGCATCCACGCCAGAGCACCTCTTAGATTACAGAGTGCAAATTAAAGCTTACAAAAAAAGCTGCAATATGAAAAGGAAAGGAAATTTTTTGAAGATCAATAGAGAATCAAACTCCATATCTAATTCAGTGAGCACAACCTTCAAGCTCAGAGGTTTGAATGAAACCGGCATGAATTCTTATGAAAGGAGATAACTTGATTCAAAACCAGTGACAGTACTTTGCCCAATTTACAATTCAGTCTATTTGCAACAACCCAATTCTTGTTTTTTTTTTTTTTTATAACTATCACAACCATAACTCCATAAGACACAAAATTCAAGACTTGCTCTCAAGACTTATTTATAGAGTAAAACTAAACATTACCCACCAAATCCCAATCACCACCATCCATAAACCACTTGGGTGCACTTATCTTTAAGCCACCTGAAGCTTTTCCTGAAGGAGCCCTTCATCTTGCCCTCCACAGAATACATTTTGTAGCTAGCAACCCTCTTCTTCCTCTGCAACTCAGGGTCCATGAGACCCCAATTAGACTTTGAGGACGACCCAGAAGTGCTTTTTCCCTTCTTCAACTTGAAGTCCCTGTTATTGTTATTAGCCATCTGGGTTTGTGCATAGGAAACACTGTAGCTCCTGAGCTCATAGGAAGTGGGTGGTCTTGGAGGTCCGTAGTAGTTTTCCATCTGCATCGTCCTACTGGCAGTACCATATGACTTTGATCTGCCGTAGTCTTCCATGGGATTTTGGCAGAGAGTTTAGAACCGTTTGAAGGGTTTGTTTTGCAGGGCCAACTGATCTTGACAGACGAAGAAAACAAATGAGGAGTAGAGAGGTGTGGGTCCAACAAAGAAGAGAAATTGCTCAATTTGCTCAGGCTTGTGTGGTTTTGTTTTGAAGGCAGCAAGGCTGACCTGACCTTATGAGTGATTCTAGATGGCGTGTTTCGTGGGGAATCATGTTGTCTACGAAAGATTAATTTATCAATAAAAATACAATTTTAGGTCTTCATAAACTATAAAGGATGCACTTTTGCTCTTGAGCCCACAAAGGGTCTTTTTTTTTTTTGTGAGAAAAACCATTCTATCAGTCCAACGGTTGTGTTCAAGTTTGAATGTGTCTTGCTAGGAAGTAATTTCAAATTTGTATCGTGAGTTCCACTTTACATTCAAAAGGTAATTATCAAAGCCGTCATCAAAGAAGATACAAGCATGCACGTGAGGTCATAGGTCCTTAGCAACACTTTTGTCCCATGGGTTATCAACAATAATTTGTTATGAGGGAATCTAAACCATCTTTCATCTTTTTCTTCTTTCCTTATCTTTTAATCTATATTCGTTTCTTTTATTCTTTTTTCCTGAGGACTTTTGTCGAGACAAGGATAGAACTTATTCTTCTCTTCTTTGATTATTGAAAAGTTATCCCCAAGTGCAGTGTCTGCATTTCTTTAACCAAACGAGAAACTTCCATGACTCCAAACATAATATTCCATCTCAAAACCAAACTTAGAACAAATCAATCCAAACACAGTTACTGCTGCGAGTTGTCTCACATACTAGAAATACAAGAAATGCAACAAAATTTTCATGTGGTTTTTGCACACCTCACACCTGAAATATGGGAATGGGAGCCCGTCTCTTATGCACAGGTCCATAACCCCAGATTCAAGTGATCCATGCTAAATAAAGGCCCCTACACCTACAAGGAAGAAAATAAATATGGCTTCCAAATTAGAAGCCAATTACCGCACCAAAGCAAAACCTTAAAGCAGATCAGCAACATTTGCCGGCAGCTCCTCAATCACAACATTATAAAACTTCTGGATGTCAAACAACATCCTGTCGTCATCCTTGGTCACAAAATTGATGGCAACACCCTTCCTCCCAAAACGACCACTACGACCAATGCGGTGGAGGTAGTTTTCTGGTTGTGTTGGAAGATCAAAATTAATCACTAGAGAGACCTGCTGGACATCAATACCACGGGCCAAGAGATCAGTTGTTATGAGCACACGAGAAGAACCAGACCGAAACTCTCTCATGATAATGTCTCTTGTGTTTTGGTCCATGTCTCCATGGGTGGCAGAGACTGTGTGATCACGGCTGCGCATCTTGTCAGCGAGCCAATCAACTTTGCGCCTGGTGTTCACAAAGATGACACTCTGAGTAATTGCCAAGGTCTCATAAAGATCACAAAGTGTCTCAAGTTTCCATTCCTCTTTATCAACATTGACATGGAATTGCTTGATACCTTCAAGGGTAAGCTCATCACGTTTCACCAAAATCCTCACAGGTTTATTCATGAACTTCCTAGTGATGTCAAGGGCCTCCGGTGGCATTGTGGCAGAGAAAACTCCCACCTGAATTTTCGATGGTAGCAGCTGGAAAATGTCATAGATCTGAAAATATGAACCGAGGTTGTTAGTACAATAAACCACTAGACCAAATAGCATGTAAACTAAACGGAAACTTTGAATTCCTTCAAACTTATCTCTAAATGTAGGAATTGCAAATTCAGCCTAGAAGGCCAAGCATTCAACTTATGCTAAAACAGAATTACAAAAAGCACTACAAACACAAGTCACATAATTGAATGCCAAACCCAGGTAACAGTGAGCATCACAAAACTCATTTTTTGTAGTAAGAAGTATCAGCTACTGAAGAAAAAAATAATAAATATAAAAATGAAATTCTGGACCTGATCCTTGAAACCTCGTGAAAGCATTTCATCTGCTTCATCTAAGACAAACATCTTAATGTAATCTGGACGAAGAGACTGTCTCCGTAACATGTCAAATACACGACCAGGTGTACCAACAACGACATGGACCCCACTGGAGAGAATGCGTTGATCTTCACGAACACTGGTCCCACCAAAACAAGCATGAACCTTGACACCAAGATAGTCCCCCAGTGCTCGCATAACCTTCTCAATCTGTTGAGCAAGTTCTCGTGTGGGTGCAAGAACCAATGCCTGGCAATCAGGTAAGGCATAATCAAGCTGCTGCAGAATTCCAGAGCAGAAAGTCGCAGTTTTTCCAGTTCCAGACTGTGCCTGTTGAATCACATCAAGTCCCTTGCAGAAAGGAACAATTCCCCTTTGCTGAATTGCAGAGGGCTTCTCAAAACCTTCAAAAAAAAGGTTTGGACTGCAAATCAGCTTTTCAATTTACCACAAGGATGACTATATACCATCAAACATGCATATAAAGACATATAATATATATATAATACAGAAGAGGCAGTGGCCATGACATTAAATGGTGTAGGATTTTGCTTCAAGTGACGGTCTTAAAAGTCACAACCTAAACTATTACACCAATTCTTAATTTTCTGTTATCTAAACAAACACACACACGCACGCACAACAAAATTGTCAGAAAACCTCAATATACTCTATATGCAAAATGGAGTTATAACCCTGAATCTTCCTAAAATGCTTGAAACTAAAATCATCCGATCAGGCACACCTTGCCAAGAATTTCCCAGAAACAAGTTTCAAAAAGTCAAAAAGTCAAAAAGAAAAAAAAAAGGTGTAGCATTATTTAATTTACCATATGCATAAATGCCCCTAAGAAGGTTCTCCTGCAATCCCATAGCATCAAAGCTGTCATGAACCTCATCATATGATGTGAAGAATTCTTGCCCATCAGCTCCAAGTCTGCTCCCATCAGTAAATTAAAACAAGATTAACTTCTTTATCATTGGCAATACAAATATGCACCACATGCAAAATTCTGAATATGTGAATCAAAGAAGACTATAAGAGAGAGAGACAGAGAGAAAGAGAGAGGACAAAAATAAAACTTACAACTCACTCATTTTAGCATCATACTGACGAGCATCAAATTGGGATCCTTCCGGTGCCACAGCAGCCATAACTGAAAATATAAACCAAAAGATATCACATTTATAATTATAACTCATCTAATTAAGGTACTCTTGGTTTACGCAGTAAGATTATAACTGATATTCAAACTGTTAACCAGTATTTTAAAAATGAAGGTGCATCTTTTATGCAATAATTTATTTCAACAACAAAAATGCTCAATCTTGAATATTTTTATGTGAACATCTTTTTCTATGAGATTTTCTTTATGGGACTCTTGGAAAATCAAAAGCCTAATCCTTCCCTGCCCAGATCATGGTATCCCCACCCAGATGACTAAGGTCATACAATCAAAAACTCATCAGACTGAAATCAGAAACATATGTATAAAAAATTGGTTACCACAGTTTACAAAATTCAAATCAAGAATACCTCTGCATTACAAAAGCAATAAGTCAACACACAAAGAACCAAAGATTAAGACTTTCAGGTTTTGAACAACTTTTTGACCTTGTTTTCAGAACTTTCACAGGAACCAAACAAAACCCCACAAGTAATCGATCTGCCCAGAACGAATAAATCGCTAACCACAGCTTGAAAATGTTTATGCATTCAACGAGAGCTTAAATAGATTATAAACTGAACAAAAGACGAGAGCGAACCTGAAAGCGGCAGTGAGAGTTCGACGAAGTGGGAAGTTTTGATAGCGGGCTGTGGATTGTGTTTAGGGTTAGGGTATCCCAAAGTCCTCGGATCTCTTTATAATTTTTTGGATGGAGGAGTTGAGGAAGGCAGCAATGTAAAGACTGGAGAGGGATAAAACGCGTACGTGAAGAGTACAAAAATATGTGAGGGCTCTTCGATGGATCAATCCTTCGCGTTTCCTATTTTGCCCTTGCAGTTCCGTTCTAATAATTGTGGGATAGGAAAAACGAGAATAGCCGGGCGGCTATACTAATTTATAAATAAAAAGAAGAGGACAAGACGAGCGATTAGAAACTCGAGTAATGGCCTAATTGTGATGAATAATGCTCTAAACAACTCTTATCAATAAACCAAAATTGGAAAATAAAAAAAAGGATCCCACTATATATATAAGGGTTATTCGCAACAATGGTCCCTCAACTATACCCATATTTACAGTTTAGTCACTCAATTCAATTATTAGTTGTAGAGGTCACTCAATTAGGTGTTTTGTTGCACCGTTAGTCCTACCGTCAAGTCTCTCTAATGGTAGGGACTAATGGTGCAACACAACACCTGATTGAGTGACCAAAATGTAACTCCGAGTATAGATGATGAACTTTCACAGGAACCAAACAAAACCCCACAAGTAATCGATCTGCCCAGAACGAATAAATCGCTAACCACAGCTTGAAAATGTTTATGCATTCAACGAGAGCTTAAATAGATTATAAACTGAACAAAAGACGAGAGCGAACCTGAAAGCGGCAGTGAGAGTTCGACGAAGTGGGAAGTTTTGATAGCGGGCTGTGGATTGTGTTTAGAGTTAGGGTATCCCAAAGTCCTCGGATCTCTTTATAATTTTTTGGATGGAGGAGTTGAGGAAGGCAGCAATGTAAAGACTGGAGAGGGATAAAACGCGTACGTGAAGAGTACAAAAATATGTGAGGGCTCTTCGATGGATCAATCTTTCACGTTTCCTATTTTGCCCTTGCAGTTCCGTCCTAATAATTGTGGGATAGGAAAAACGAGTATAGCCGAGCGGCTATACTATTTATAAATAAAAAGAAGAGTACATAGAAACATACCCAAAATGGGTTTTGGGTATGTGTGTAATGATGGGTTTTGGGTATATTTATAAATGGGTTTTGAGTGTATGTAATGATGAGTTTTGGGTATGTTTATAAAGTGTTTTGGGTGTTTGGTATTTTTATAATTTCAGCTCCCATTTTGGGTATTTTAGTGAAACTCCCCAAACCTCTTCCGACAAAAGTTCGTTGAAATAGGTCTATGTTGGCAAAATTTGCCATTCTTTATTTTTTATTTTTGTTTTTAAAAATAATATAGCCACGCGTCGTTTTTATTTTTTTGTTTCTTAACACGTGCGTGATATCCGAGAACTACTAAGCGCACCATGAAGAACGAAGTTGTTGGGCCTTAATTTAATAAA